GTGTGTGTGTGTGTGTGTGTGTGTGTGTGTGTGTGTGTGTGTGTGTGTGCGTGTGTGTGTGTGAGGCTGAGAGTGAAAGACAGGAGGGAGGAGATTGATGGCCTGATTCGGGCGGAGGAGTGAGTCACGGCGGTGATCCGATGTCTGCGCGTGCGTTTTCTCGTATCGTTGTGTGTCAGTTTTAATCAAGATTGACGCATTGTTTGGTCCGTCTGCTCCAGTCTTATTTATCAAAGTCTTCCTCCTCCTCTTCCTCCCCTGCCCTCAGTTTCTGATTGAGGTGAAGAACTCGCTGTCGTCCACTGTTCCACCTGGCTGGGTCAAAATCAGCAGGTGAGCTCACAGCTGCAGGACGGACACGCACACACACACACACACGCGCACACACACACACAGTCACCTACACTTTTATCAAATAGTTGGAGCAAAAAGACAAAATATAAATAAACTACGAAATACATGACCAAAATACAACAGCGGAAGTGTGTTTAACTGCAGGTAACAATAGTAAAAGCACTATTTTAAACTATACAACAAGGTAATTTGGTGATGGAACTAATCCTGTCATGGTTTAAAGCCGCACTTCTGGTTTTACGGTCCTCAACTTTACTCTTTTAGTTTCTATCTCACGTTTCTGCGTTACCTTGTTTCATGATTCAATCAAAAAACTCTGACAAGCCCACTCCACACTACCTGTGCAGCACCAAACGGGAGTTGGAAAACGCTCATGGCTGACTAGCTGATAAGCATAGTGGAGAATTTAGCCAGAAACTTCCCTCAGGAGTTGGCGAAGACCAAAAACAGAGCTGAAGGGAAAGTGAATGTTGGACTTCCATCGCGGACGATGAAAAGACGGCATCCATTTTCAGAAAGCGGCGAGCTACGTGGACTCACTGCTCGTGTGCCATGAGAAGCTGGGAACCACTCACATTTGTTGTCTGGCAGTCTCAGTACTTGTTGAAGTATAATATTGTAACCTGTTGTATGTATCCCCGCCCCTGCAGTACCAAGGCAGTCAGCAGGTATCACTCTCCTTTCCTGGCGGAGCGCTACAAGAAGCTGCTGCAGCTCCGAGAGCAGCTGCTGCTGGACTGCCAGAGGGAGTGGACCAATTTTTTGGAGTATGACACACACACACACACACACACATACGCATGCACACACAAAAAACATGTCGGCCGGCCTCTGGTTCTGAGAGATACCTGGTCGGCTCTCAGCTCTGCCCGTCTGTTTTGGTCGAGTGGACCGTCGGTGTCATCTGCTCTGAACACAGTGTGCACTTACTTTAATTTACACTTCAAAATCTCTTTCCTCTCTCTCTCCGCAGTCAGTTTGGGGAGCACTATCACACCATGAAAAGGGCTATTAGTCACCTAGCAACCATGGACTGTCTCTTTTCATTGGCTGAGGTGGCTAAACAAGGGGACTATTGCAGGTGATGTCCTCTCATGATAACCGTAAATATTGGTGTGTGTGTGTGTGTGTGTGTGTGTGTGTGTGTGCGCGCGCGCGTCTGTGTGTGTTTGTGTGTGTGTAATAACGTGTGTGGGTGTCCTGTGTCGTGTCCTATAGTCTCAGACAGGCTGTATGTGGGAGTGTGCACCGGGATCCGCAGCGTGCTCAGCCAAAACGCCAACATCTCTCCCACACACACATGCACACACACACGCATGTACACACATACACACACAAACACATGCACACACACCTTTATATTGTCAAATTTGTTGTTATAGCTTCACATCCATCCACGACTTCGTACTGCAGTCCCTGTTTTTTTGCAGCTCCTCTTTAAACCGCTATCTTCTGTTTTGCCATTGCTCTCCTTACGACTCTACTTCTCTTGCGTGTAAATATGTTTTTTAAAGGAATAGTTTGACATTTACCCTGTGATGCTAGTTATGTCATCTCTCTGCCTTGTTTATATTTGTTTTATTGCTTTTATTGTTTCTGTTTTTACCATGTAAAGTGCCTTTGAGTACCTTTTTAATTATTATTAAGGGCAATACACGTTTGCATTCTTGCCAAGAGCTAGAGGAGAAGCTCAATACCACTCATGTCTGTACGCTAAACATGAAGCTACAGCCGGTTAGCATAGCATAAAGACTAGGAGCAGGGGGAAACGGCTGGCCTGGCTCTGTCTGAAGCTGTGAAGAGTAAAAAGAACATGTTGTAGTTTGACGAGGTGTCACAGTATGTGTCGGGCTATTTCTTGGCCCGGGAGTCGAGTACGTTTCTCGTATGTTGCCAGGAAGTTACTGCGCCTTCTCATCTCTCTGCAAAAAAAGTCAAAAAGCGGATTTGCCAAACTATTCGTTGATTAGGCCAATATTATTGTCCAATATATGTTTCACTGTTTATTCATTCTTTTTCTTTTTTGTTTCTTTTTCTTAATTCAATTTTGTTATGTGTGTTAGTGTTTTAGTTTGAGTGATTGATTGATATCGTGTTACATTTTCACAGTTTCAGTTTCAGGGCCCATGGTTAAAATGATAATGCCTTTTCTAGACATGTATGTGTGTGTGTTTGTGTTGAATTGGTTGTGTATGTGCCCAACTTGCTGAGAGTGTTCTCTGTGTCCAGGCCAGAGGTGTGTGAAGGTGAGCATCAGATTATGATCCAGGACGGCAGACACCCGGCCATCGACTTACTGATGGGAGAGCACAACCAGTATGTGCCCAACCTCACTGAACTACAGGTACACACACACACACACACACACACACACACACACACACACGCGCGCGCTCATTCAGAGTGCTTCGAACAACAAGTTGAGCCAAAACACACAACGTTTGCTCATTGAAGGCAGTTCTGAAACAAATGTGTAACAGCCTTCACACACATAAATACACACGCGATGCACACTCATACGGACTTGCATGGCACCGCACACGCACTTCCTCGCTCAGTGCTGGAGTGGGTGTAGGTTAATTTTGCAACGGAAGCACAAGCCAATAGGAAGAGAAGCCAAGCTTTCAATCCACCCACCTCCTCAGCTGTGCAGGACAGCATGCAAATAACTTATTCTGTCTCTCTCATCGCCTTCTGTCTATGTCACTGTTATTCTCCTCTCCTCCCTCTCCTCTCCTCTCCTTCTCCTCTCTCACAGGGCGATGGCAGGAGAACTATGATAATCACTGGTCCTAATATGGGGGGTAAGAGCTCCTACATCCGCCAGGTGGCCCTGATCTGTGTTATGGCTCAGATGGGCTCCTACGTCCCGGCCTCTGAGGCCCGCCTGGGCATGCTGGACGGCATTTATACCAGGTATGGACACAAATATAAATCTGTCTTTGGTGGTCTGATTTAAAGTTGCATAACACGGGATCGGGAGCATTTCGATTGCCTCAACGGCTCTCAACAAGGTGGCGCCTGAGCCGGCGGCTCATACCTAACGGTGCTAATAGCGCTAAACGTACAAACTGCCAACAGTGTTTACCTAAAGGAGCTGGAGGGTGGGTGCTACGCTTCCATGATGCTGTTATCAGCTGAAGCTGCCGTATGAGAGCGGTGCAGAGCGGCGGCCTTGAGCGAGCCAGCGGGGCGCGCTCACATGCACTGAAAGTACGCACGGTCGGCCCAGCTATGTCAACAAAGCACAGAGAAGCTGTGATTACGACACACACTCCCCTATATCTTTACATTCCAGATGCTCTGGATATTTGATATTGCTCCTTTAATGTTGCCACTTTACGAATGACCTACCAATGTTGCATCATTGATAAACGATTCAATGGATATGCAATAAAGCCGAAGGACTTCATCTGGACGGAAATAGTGAAAACAGATTGTTTAAACCTGGTACTCTAAATGGACAACACACCAGAAATAGACATTATGAAACAACTAACAGATACAGAGAATGACTATCACAATGATATCAAAGTAAGTAAAAGAAATGATACAAATCATATAATGCAGTCCCATCAAAAAATACAATTTAAAAAGCGAAGAGATATCGGATATGACTTTGTATTTGTTGTGTAAGTACACAAGTTATAATTAAATGTTTTTGTGGGCTTATTGTTTTCATTCATTGATCAACTTATTGGACTACTCAACATTATTATTATTATTTAATATTATCTTCGGAGGGAGCAGAGGTATGTGAACATGTGGGATCTTTGACTGACGCGGTCTTAATCTTGTTTGATACTTTCAATAAAGATAATTTGGAAAAGATTTCCAGTAGGACTTCCTCTGCAGCAGTTGTTTTAATCCGTCTCTCCGTTGAATAATTACATTAACAGCCACATCTCAGTCCAGAAAGGAAACGCTGGTTAGCCCACAGAGCACACGGTAAACAGCTTTCATTGGGACTACTTTCTTCCGAAGGAGTACTCTAAATCAAAACTGTTGAAAGCTGCGCGATTTAACTTAGAAAATATGTTTTGTTTTTTTGTATTGTGATGAACTGACACTTAACTGTGAATCCTCTAGCTTGTGAATTGGCTCCATGAAGCAGTGTGGATGCCACAGAAACACAAGATGAATAAAATCATTTGATGCAGCTGCAGAGAAAAAGGCACCCAGTTTGCTTGTAGTCTCTTGATGACACCAATGTGCGTGTGTTTATTTTCCCTGGCAAGCACATTAAAGATGAGACATCCATAAATAATGACACATTCAAAACGGGTTCATAAGAACACATCAATGCATAAAAGCTCTCTTCTATATCTAGTCCTTAATGTAAAAGTGACAAAAGAAGCTAGAGTGTTTCTTGCTATTTATTGATGGACAAACACACTCAAGAAGTGATACCCGAGTGACTTTTTCTAGCTTTCGACAGGAAGACAAGGATAGTGACCATGACAACACCAATGGAGCAAAACGCACCTTCATCGCTGCAGGTTATTTCATATTGGTCCAACTACATATAAGGACACAGGTGGAGACAAACCCCCCCCCCCACCTCATTCACCTTGTTTTGTTTCACCTTCATCGTCTGTGACATGGTCCAGTTTATCTCTAGGACTGACACTCGTACTAATCTCTTCTAATCCCACTGGGTTCCTCAGCACACGGGAGGAAGTGTGTGATGGGGTGGGGGTGGGGGGGAAGAAATGGAAGAGTCAAGGCCTGCTCTATTGTTCCACCATGGTTCTGTACGATGCAGCTCTCTGTATTGTAGAAACCCTCAGACAATGAGGCTTTGTTGGAGAAGACCCCCCGTGCTGATGATTATTCTCATTATGATGAGAGTAGCAGTAAGCTCTGCATGCCATTTCCAGCCCCGACTACATATTTGTGTGGAACACAGGCCAATATGCTGTACGGTCTCCGTTATGCTGCCTCTGCTGCACTATGTCATTAGACCTAATGGCTTGCAGATGTGTGTAATTGTCTTTTTTTTGTTTGTCGAGGGTTTAAGCATGTTCTTATGTATTAACCCAGTGGGTGCCAGAGACCTGTCAGCACACCAACAGTGTGTGTGTGCGTTTGTACCTCTGTCCTTGAGAGAAATAGTTGGCGCTTTTGGACTTGACATTAGCGTAATGAGGTGATTTTGGCTGGTTCTCACATATTTAAGGGTCTACTTTAGGGTCAGCGTTTGGGTTTATTAGAATGGGGCGGTTGGGTTGAGTGGACAGAACTAAGGAACTGATTATGAAACTTGGAGATTTATTAATAATAGTGCAGAACATGTATTCTGTAAATTGAAAACAAAAGCTAAAAAAACCAAACCCAAAATTATATTAAAAAAACATGTCGGTTCGCACAGAACTGTTAAGTGCTATTCAAAGTTCAATTTGTCAAATAGAAATAAGCTTACAATATAAATGCATTTAAAAAAAAAAACATGTTTACTTTGAATGAAATGTCTGTAGCACCAATGTCTTTTAAAATACCATCAGCAAAACACTAAACCTGAAGAACATGACCAGATGATGGGAGGCTCATTTGTTCTCCCTCTCCTCCACGTTTCTTCTTCAAAAAAAGAAAATAAAAACCACCTTAAAGAGCTAATTAATGTCCACAGAAAAAACACACCCCGGCTGTCCTCTCCTCACCTCCTCTGCTACCGCTCCTCTGTTGTCCTTACTGTTTCTAATTGGACCGCTTATGCCCCTCTCTACCACCGAGATCCTGAGGAGAATCGGTCGGGGTCGTAATCGCTCAATCAATTCCCACTGCTGTGTCGAGCCTAGTAGACGCAGCGCTGGGAACTGCTTCATCTTGTTGTGTGTTTATGAGCGAGAGGGGAGACGGACGTGGAGTGAGAGCTTGTGAGTGGAATAAGCAGACTCTGTGGGGGGGGGGTAATGAGATGACGCGTAGGTGTCTAATGGGATATCCTGTCTGAACTGATCCAGATGATTGATTATCAATGAGGATAAAGGGAATTATCTGGAGATTGGTTTAAAGCAGCATGCCGCCTCGCTGAGTCGTTTTATTTTCCTGCCCACCCCCTCTGTACAACTGCATTTAAACCATCACAAACCTAAATAAAAAAAAGAAAAGTCTAAATTGAAATAAATACAGAAGTAATGTACATATACTACACTTGAAAAATCTGTGCACCAGAGGTAAGCAGGGGAGAGCTACAAGACCTCTCTTTGTTTACATATCTTCAATAATTTCACAGCCACTGTGCAACAGCATTTGTTTGTTTTTTTTTACAAATATCCCATGCAGTGGTTTGACCATAATTCAGTGTGTGTGTGTGTGTGTGTGTGTGTGTGTGTGTGTGTTCTGTTACAGACCTCAGCATAGTAAGCCTGGTGTGTGTGTGTGTGTGGCAGACGGATGCATATGTGCAGGTGTGCTGTGTG